TGCCATTCTGTCAGTGTCAGCTTTTATACATAAGGACGAGTCCTTGCACAAACATGAGTTAGGAAATGCAGTTCCAGTACCAGTAACAACTGTAATATATCACCTATGTCTTGTGGAGGAGGTACTTAAAGAACACTGATCTGTGTATCATGAAGAATCAGCATAAAGAATCAGCAAAAACATTTACAAGATATTTAAGGGTACTTTCATTTTCCTTTTTCCTTTTTTTCTTTTTTCTTTTCACTACATACAGTGTTTAAATTCAGACTCCGATTAGCTAATTTATTTTTGAAAACAGATCCTTGCTTTTTTGACTTGCCTACATTGTAATGCAGTAAGTTTAACTGCGCTCAATTCTCTTTATTTTTAAAGTATTTTGCACAATGCATTTAGAAGTGGTGTAGTTCTTATTCCCTAACTTTTCTCAGCAGTATACAGTATGGTGGTTTTATATGCCTGCCTATCTAAGTCAGTTTAACTCATTTACTTAGGTAACGAACTTAGCTCATTTCCTCATGGAGGTATTATACTAGCACAGTGCTCAACCTAAGGAAATCCTTTCAGAGAGGGAATCTCAGCAGTGTGTTGACTTTCCCAGTGCTTTTCTTCTTCCACAAACCTGAAATGATTCTTTTTCAAGTCTCTGTGCAACTTGAACAAATCTATGCTTGCCAAGAGCTTTCCCTCTGGTCCCACTCCCTTGGTGGAACCTTTACACTTCCAAGCTGGAAAAGGATCTTTATTTCCATTTTAGTTGTTCTAGTAAAAAAACAAAAAGCTTTAATCTTGTTTTTATTTATTTCCTAAAAAGTAATGAATGAAGGAAGAGTTCTATTTACCCTTCTGTCTTTTCAACAAGCACATGAAGAGGAAATAGAGCAGGTAGTGTTTATATTAACAACTTCAATTTAATTTTAACCTGTAATCACATTAACATGATGTAGGGTGCGTAGTCTCAGAGGATGCTGTAGAAGTAGTGTTGTCAGAAATTCTATATCAAGCAGCTGTGGATAGTTTTGGAGAAGTAAGGATTAACTTAATTAGAGAGGTATACTAGTTTTTAAAAGGCCAGCACCCAAATAGGACTTCTGTATTTGATGACTTCATGACAACTCCTGAGCCAAGCTGAAAAGATGAATCAGCAATTGTAGGTCTTGGGGTGACTATGTACAGTACTGTGGGTGGCTGGGGGAGAAGCAAGGTGGGAAATGGGGGGGATGGAAATTGTGCTCGTATGCTCATTCCAGCCCAGGAGTTGTCCTGCAGCTGAAGAATGTGTGGAAGGACTTCTGAGCCTTAGCTAAGGCACTTTCATTATACCATCATGTACAATGTAAAGTGATATTTCAGTGTGAATCTTTGACATGGTTTGCAAACATGTATTTATTTATCCCAGCAGTGGAAAATAAAAGGAAAAAAAAAAAGGGGGGGGGGTAGTGGGGAAGTGATGGTATTTAATTCTTAGCTGTGTTTTCTATACACAGGAGGAGTTTGAAGGCTGCCCAGAGCACTGATATTAAGTTACATTATGTAGATCTGGAGTTCTTGTTGAAAGCCCCACCCCCCCACAACTGATAACATTAATAGTTTTGTTATCTGGAGTAAACAATGAAAAAGATTGTAAATAAGAGTTGCCTAAATACTCACTCTAATCTCTGAATAGTTATGGAAGATTCAGTTTTAATTAAGGCTTTTCATAATTGCGAATGCATCTGTTAAGTATTATGTTCTTTTTGGACACAGTAAACTATAGGCTTACATACAGAAACTAGGTTCAGAAATTTGCAAAGTGTACAGGCTCTAAGCAAGTTAGCTTGATGAGGAATCTTTATTTGAAATGCAAATCTCACGTTGGGATTTACAGGGTAAAGCTAGCTGAGCAAAATGAGTTTAGTGCACACAGACCAGTTTGCTCTGCACTTCCTGGAAGATCTTATTACTTAGGTAATTATGGCAAACAGGGTTGCAGTTCCTTTATCTGTGGACTAAGCTCTAAAATATTGTAAGTGTGTGGCTTAGAAGAGTTGATAACAGTTTAGGCTTCCATCTGCTTAACAGTAAAATTTTGGCTGTTAATAGCAAGCAGTTCTTAGTGGTCAGAGGGGAAAGTTAATTCTTCTTAAGGACGTGAAAAGGTGAGTAGGTTGGTTCTTGTATTTTACTGCTGTGCTAGTTAGTATGATATTATGAAGTTTAGAATTTGCTAGTGTTAAAGCTTTTACTGTAGTATTATAGAAGTTTTTTTCAGCTTTGCTAAACCGAGCAAAAACTATTTTTCAAAATATATGTATTTATATATGTAGATCAGTCATGGTGTTTTGCATGTGTTGATGTCATTAGGAATGAAAGCTATAAAAAGAATTGCAGTTAAAATACCAGCAAATAGATCCCATTTAGGCTTTCAGCATGCTTTGAGAGACAGGTGTCTTGTTTAATGCTAGTTAAGAATAACAAGAAAAAAAAAGAGAATCCACTGTTTCAGGGACTTCTATAGAACTAGATCAGAAATTGTAACTGAAGATGTATGAGATTTAGCAAGCAGTTTCATAGCAATGCTCAGAACAGTCAAACTGAAGGAGGGAGTGTCTGGGAAAATAAGACTTGCCTGAAGCAGAAGCAACAGGTCTGTCTAGAAAAAGATGTCAAGCAAGTAATATTACATTATCTCTCTGGAGCAAGGCACGTTACTTTATTTAATGAAGGGTTGTTTGGTCAGCACATTTTACTCTAGCTTGATGCAGTTAAGCAGCAAATACACTGCAGACACAGGTGAGAAAACAGGAGGGGTGTGGAGGCTGGGAGGAGAAAGTTTTTGTGCTGTTTTTCAACAAAACTTTCTGGTTTACCTCAAGGTCTTAATAGAAAGCTTTTCTATAAGTAAAATTTCAAGTTTGTAATATTTCTGTAGGTTTCTCACTCTGGATGGTTGAAAACAGTATTTGATGTTTTTAAAAAACAGTAGTTTGTTAATAATAAATTTGCAGTTCTCTACCTACTTTAAAGCACATAGCTTAACTTAGAGAACAAAGAAGAGCATGCAGTGCATCCAAGTGATAGAAACTCTCTACTGCTTTTAGTATTTTTCACTTTTTTCTTCCTTCATACTTGAGTCAGTCTGCTGTCCTGATTTACCAACGCAGCTGGTGGCCATGGATCTCTGGAGGAGTGGCTTCTTCTTTTCCACATCCAACCAAACAGCAGGATAGCGTAGGCACCTCTTTGGCAGCTGCTTACCACAGGTGGATTTTTTCTCACTGAGGCGACTGTGACCCATGTTATTGTTGCTTTGAGGTGGGAGGAAAAATTGCAAGGAAGGTGACCGACTGCAGTTAAGAACTGGGCATCTCTAATGTTTTTAATGAATCTGCTAAGCTACTGGCAGATAACTATGATAACTAAAGATGGAAATCTACCAAAATCAAGGAATTGATGCAACAGAATCAGAGGAAGTGTCTGAAACGTTTACATGTAAGCGTTCCAGTGTTTTAACTTTATATATCAGCTGACATAGTGACTTTCAGGGTTGTTCTGAGGATAATTTGCATTATTTTCAATATCATTAAATGAAACATTTGGGTCAGTTGCTATAAAGATTAGATGAAATTCATTTACATTTAGCACTGTTCATACTTGAATTATTATTTAGACAAAAATGGAAAGACAAAACCAACGTTTGTTCTCATAGATGTTTGCCTTGAGTGAAACTAAGGATTGTTTTTTCCTTTTTTTTTTCTTTTTAATATGGCATTCTCGTGCTGCTCTTTGAATCTATTTGATCTGAAATTAGATAATAGCTTAACCATTATGGCAAGCTAAATGGCAGAGCTCAAATTAGAACCTAGTGACTTCAGACGTTAATTCCTGCAGTCGTCCCTCTTAGATAATGATTATATGCATTGACCAGAGTGGATATAGCACACACAGATCACTGATAACATAGAAGTTACTAATACATCAGTTTTCTTTTTATTGTGTGTTTTTTCACCACTACTTTGTCTTAGGGCTTGTAATTTATAAACAAAGAAAACAATTGCTACTAATTATTTTTCCATTACATTGGTCTTATTACTGATTTTCAGTGTTTCTTATGATGCAGTAATATGGGGTCAGCCTTAAGTGTACTTTTAGGGATTTTCTTTTTTTGGTCCATTAGAAATGACAATAAAATGATTACAATTAAATGATTTTTATTTTAAATCTGGCTTTATCCTCTGGCTTCTGATTCGGGTATTTAGGAAGTATCTAACTGAGAGTAAATGAAGGTGGTTTAGCTATTGGTCATGTCATTGGGCATGGTGACCAGTGCCAAAAATTGTCACTGAATGAACACCAGAGATTGTTGTTGTATACATTTAGAAGAAGACAGTTGACACTCTAGTTCTTAGAATAAGTAATAGTATGATAAATACAGGTTTCAGCATTGCTGATCTTGGGGTGCTATAATGTAAGGGTCAGAAGTGAAAAATGTTAGATGTAATTACTGTTGGGGTTGAGCCAGCAACAGGTTTGTATGCATTCACTCTTTACTCCCATAGCAACAGTCAAATCACAGCTCAAACATTTGGCTTATAGGTGAACTATATTTTTTTTTCACAAACAGTAAAAGCCACTTACATTTGCTCATTTATTGAAACCCTCTTCTTGTGGTGCTAAAGGTTGGAAATACACAGAGCTTTGATAAAGTAAATTGTTTTTAATAATGAGGAGCAGGCAAATCTCAGATTTCCAGTGTCTGAGATCTGTTTGGTTTTGTTCCCATCTGTATTACCTTGTTTTAGTAAAGAACCTTAAGAAAAAATGGAATCAGTGATAAATGGGAACCTCAGAAATCCACATCTCCTATCAGGAATAGGAACAATTCGTTAGTTTTTGTATTACAGAGCTGAATTTCTGATAGTGTGGAGTTTTGTTTGCATGGCGTAATATATTTCACTGTTTTATGATATATTTTCTGTCTGGGTGTGTGTGGTATAATGCATGTGATTTCATCTGTCTTTCAGCTGGAAAAGTGAAGGTCTCAACAAATTGCAGATCATGGCTTCTGATGCTAGTCATATGCTTGAAGCAGCTTTGGAACAGATGGATGACATAATTGCAGGTATAAATACAGCATTATTTACATCAGATTATTTGGATATTTAACCTTGTCCATCTTTTTACCTCGTATGATTTTTGTGTTTTTAAGTATTTGTCTCAGTTTGCCAAGTTCCCTGTGACACAAGTTTTTATGGTTCAGTAGTTAGGTGAAGAAAATTTTAAGTAATGTAACCGAAGAAAGCACATAATTCTATCTCAGACATATAACTATGGAAATAAGAGATTTAATTTGTTCTAGTGTTATGTGATAACTTCAAGAAATCCTATTTCCTGTGGTAACTTTGAAATTTTGTAGAAAATAATTGCAAGACTAGTTTGAAAATTTACATTTATAGTGTGCTTGGTCATTCAGTTTACTGTAAAATAGTATATGCTAGATTTTTGTTTCTTTAGTTTTGTACTTCTGTGTGTTTGTTGAAAAATGTGATGTTTTCACCAATGTATTCAGTTATCTGGATAGTATATATCTGTATCTTATGCACAAGTACACTAGAATGTATTCATAAACAATGTAGTTTTCTGTGTGTGTGTATAACATAATTTATTCATGATAATGTTTAAGGCTTCATAGTTTAGAATGTATAGCTCTTTTTGTTAGCATTCATATCCAGGAGTGAAATTAGAACTTTATTTTTACACAGCTTTCTGCCAGAAAGGGGTATGATGCAAGACAGAATTTGCTGTCTTTTGATTCTCTTATGGTAACACAATTAAAACTACTTGTCTCAACATTGCTGCGTCCATGAAGAGAAGGTAATTCTATGGTTAGGACTCAGTAGCCTTGGGGTTTGTGGTCACACAGCGTTCATCATGAGCTCCTGGAAGAGGCATCTGGGTAGGGCTGTGATCTCACTTTTGCAGAATGGAAAATCATTTATTAAATGTTTTTAAATTTAAATAATGACGCCCATGCTGTGCCTTTTTTAAAGCTAATGCTTTAAAAGAGCCAAAGCAACATTGAAGCCTGTGTGCTCCTAAATTATCTGCATACGTGTGGATATTTTTATTTTTTCTTTTCTTTCTTCTGAGATAATTGATTCCTTTCCCAACATGCATTGGTGATAACATTTGATGAATGTATCTTTCATTTTTCTGAATATTTTCTCTTTTCTTAGGATAGGTTTTCTTCAGAAAATTTATATCTTCCAAGAGAACAAATAAGTTTAAATAGGAGATTTCTAACTTTCTAAAGATTACATACTGATTTTCTCCCAGGAGTCGTGGTATGTTTTCTTTTAATGGGAGGTGTTGGAAAAGTTAACGTGATTTTGATGATTTTCAGACTTCTTCCTAAGATTTTCATCAATTTCAGTCTTCTGTGTTGGAAGCACGCTCTTCAAAAATATTTCAAATTGTTTAGTATTTCCTCATGCGATCGATATGATGCCCTTAGACTACAAAGAGGTCTACTTCCTTGAATATATTGAATATATTTTGTTTAGAAAACTTTTGTTTTGCCTGAAGATACCAGTACATAATCCTTTCCAAGACATACTGGCTACGTAATTTTTTCCACTAAGATAACATTGCTACTCAGTAGCATTTCCATGACTAGCAGCTCTGTAAAACCGTTGTTGCAAGGTTAGTTCTGGGTAATATAATAGTTGTTTACTGTTTTTTGTTTGTTTGTTTGTTTTCCCTATGGTATTGAAAGGTAATCCATTAAATATATGACAGTATGTGACAGCATGGCAATATTTGACTGTCTTAAATAATCACACGCTTCTAGCAGTTTGATAGAAAAATAATTGAGCTAGGCTTGACTTTTTTTCTTTTTTTTTATTTAATTTTCTTTCCTCCATTCCTTTTTTATGCCCGTAACTTTTTAGGGTTTCATCCTGGTACATATGCACTAGAATTACATAGTTCCAGGCTGCCTAGCAGCGTTATACTTTTATACCCTCTGCTAAGCTGGAGATAATGATACAGAGAAGCAAAGCACATGATGTAAGAAATAATCTGCATTTATCAGTGGGTTGCACGCCCCATTCGCTGCTTTTTGTAGTGGTGTTGTTGCCCATCAAAATAAAGATTTAGACATGCTTTTCATATGTAGAGTTACTTTGTAAGAAATAATCTGTTTCAGTTGGTGCACATCCCATTCACAGCTGTTTCTCTAGAATCAAAGAATGACTTGAGTTGGAAGGGACCTTAAGGGCCATCCAGTTCCAACCCCCCTTTTCGTCTACAAAGACCCCCAAGTCCTTCCCCTCAGAGCTGCTCTCAGTAAGTTCTCTTCCCAGCCTGTACTCGTAATTGGGATTGCCTCAACTAAGTGGTGTTGATTCCCAGACTAAACCAAAAGGACTTAGGTGTGCTAGTTATATGTAGAGTTTGTTTCCACAGTGTTGTGAGTAAATTGACAGCTTCAGGAGAGTTGACTTTGACTTCACATTACTTTTTTTTTTTTTTTTCTAATTTCCAGTTATGTTCCACATAATACTGAAAATAGAATAATATTAAGGTATATAATGGTGAAAAAATAAAATTTCCAGTCCCGCTCAGTCAGGTCTCATCATTAACTGAATTATTTCCATGTGATTTCACAATTATATCTATCCATACCAACCAAAAAAATATTACTTTGTTCCTTTATTTTTAGTTGTAACACAAAGCTCAAATAGTTTGGAGAATTGTTTATGTTAATTATTGTTTTCCATTACTAGAATTAGGAAAGTGATTTTAAGATAGGGTAATTTAAGTTTTTTTCTGGTCATTCTTTTCCAGCTAATGTTCTGTGTGTTCCAGAACTGCTTATCACATATTCTGGTATGATTGAGGGACTGAATATGTCTGCTGGAGCCTGTACTTGGATACTGGTGATTATCCCAATTTGCCTCAAATTGAGGAACATGGTTACTATCCAAGTTTGATTCTCTCTAATTCAATCCACTAGGCTTCTGTATGCAATCTGGGGAGGGTTTGGAAAAGAGGAATATTCTCTTTTGTGTAGTGAGAGAGGAAATAATGTACAGAACTTCAGGATGGGGACTGTCAGTAAACAAACAAGAAGTTTTCTAACACTAGATTTATAAATACTACATTATGCAAATATTGGACAAATTATCTGCACAAATGTAGGTGCTATTAGAGTAGTCTAGAAACAGAAACGGCAAAAGTCAGCTGTTCTGAGCTATTTCATCAGACAGGAGATTGTAAAAATCATCTGCTGAGAGTTTTTTCAGGTCATAGATCCGTGGTATCTGGATACAATCTAGGCAGCATTGGATTCAAAGACTAAGGCTAAATTTCATGACTATGGAAAAGTAGCTGGAAAAAGAGGTATCGCTTAGAATAAGGCCTGAATGGATCTAGGAAGAGCTGTGTTTTCCTCGTGACCTCAGAAACCTGTGCTCCAGGCATAAAATGATCATTAATCATTGCTTCAGGGAACTGAAAAGTCTAGAGGTATTTAACTTTTGAAGTTTCAGTAAGAGAAGTGTGTACATGTATACAAATATACATTTAGATATATATGTATACACATGCAAATAAAAAAAATTATTTAATAAGAAAACCATAAATTTTTATAATAGCTGGAGTTGTTATTACAGCACAAGGCCCTATTCGAACATTTTGAGGAAAGAACTGGGCATGCAAACACACACAATACAAGTATTTAAGATTTGTAATCCTAGTTTTAGCCTTCTTAATTGTGGAAGTAAAATCACTTACTTCAAATGCTAGCATACCTACTGGATGATTCTGGTTAATGGAAATAAAAAGTCTTTAAGTAGATTGTGCATCTCAGTGCAATACAAAATATATTAGAGTTTAGAGTGCATGAGAATAGGATTGTAAAACAAGATTAACAAATTAAATTTCTTCGGGCTTGATCAAATTTGACAGATAAGTGAGTGTTCCCAAGTCTTTAATGCTTCAGTACATCTTTACTGATACCCACCCTCTTAGCTATATAAATTAGGCATACTCAATGATTACCCCTATTTGGCTAAAATAGCAAAAAGGGCTAATGTGATTGTCAGTGACCATGACTTATCCATTAGTCAGAATGCCTTGCACTTGAAACAGAAGGAGTTTTTAAAGAAAGCATTCATATGTCAAATCTGTCTACATATTCTTTACTTGTAGTGCACATTTATGACATTGCCTCCATCTGTGTCTTGTCCAAGTCATTACTTTCTCATTTCTTTGGTTTGTACTCCATCCGTTAAAATGTGTTTCTCTACAGGATTATAAACTGTTTGATTTTTCTATTCAATAAATCATAATGAATTATAATAGTTTTCATTTTAGTTTTTCAAAATAGTTCTGTCTAATTTGGACATCCATTTTTTTTCTTTTGTGAACAATGGTCATAAGTGTAAAGTGTAAAAATTGTCACAATGTTACAATCCTCCATAGATCCAGAATGTCTTTAAATTCAGTGGTTAATCAGTGTAGTTATTATAATCTTTAACAGAAGCTCCAGCAAGTATTACTTAATGAAAAATATAAACATATTATCACATGGGTGTGTACTAATGTTTCAGTATTAGTACTAAAAGATTAATGAACCAAATTCTAAAAGTTTGTTAGTATTTTAATTCCCTTCTCTCCAAGGGCAGTACACTCACATTCAGCCATCACCTTGGCTATGTACTACAGCTTCTGACCCATCTTAATTGGGATACAGAAATGAAAGAGCTCAAGCTCCAGAGCTATGTGATGTTACTTAGTGTGTGCTGGATTACCAAATGAGCTCTAGTTAGATTATCAGAATTTGGATTGAAAATGGAGAAATTGACAAAAAATACTAATACATGTATTTGACCCCCTTTGAGTGGATTTTAGGTTTTGTAGAGTAAGGTTTTCACTGAGTTTCTACATAAATAGTAGAAAATGAAAGATTTCCCAATGACCTTATGCTTCACCCATGAACAATCAGACAGATATTCACTCAGAGGATTCTTTCAGAATGTAAGCACTAGTCTTGCAGCACTTTAAATGAAGAAGATAGAATTCTCTGTTCTGCTTCATAAGGATTTGAAGTTGTCCAGA